CGAAAATTTTAACAGTGGTTATTTATAGGTGGTAAGATCATAACTTATTTTTTATTTTCATTATACTTCTCTATATTTTCCTGAACTGAATTTGTATTAATCTAATATCCAAAAACATATATAACATATATATATGTATATATATGTGTGTGTATATGTATATGTGTGTATATATATATATATATATATATATACACACACACACACAATATTTATATTGTTAATCCTCACACAAGGATATTTTTCCATTGATTTTTTAGAGAGAGTGGAAATGAGGGAGAGAGACAGGGAAACACTGATGTGAAAGAGACTTATTGACTGGGCTGGGATTGAGCCTGCAACGGAGGTATATGCCCTTGACTGGAATCAAACCTGCAACCCTTCAGTCTGCAGGCTGATGCTATAACCACTGTGCAAAACTGGCCAGGGCCCAAAAACATACATTTTAAAAAAGAATATAGACTTCACTTGTGATATACTGGAAAGAGCATAGAATTAGAAAGACAGACTGAGGAATCTGAGGAAAGGTTGGATGGAGGAGAGGCTGGGGAGAGATTAACCAGGGAAATCATATGCATCATGTACATATATGCATAGCCCAAGGACATAGAGAATAGTGTGGTGAAGGCCTGGGAGGGGAAGAATGAATTAATGTGAAAAAAAACAAACAAATTGGACATCTGTAATACTGTGAACAATAAAGATAAATTTTAAAAAGAAAGACTTAGATTCAGATCCTGGCTTTCTTCGCTGTGTGTGACTTTGAGCAGATAAGTTCATCTCTCTGAGCTTCAGTTTCCTTATCAGAATTTGGGGCTAATCATGCCTATCATAGCACCTCCATCAGGATGAACCAAGAGACATCCAATGGGTAGCAAGGTCTGCCGAATGAAAGGCTCCAGGAGATGAATGCTTTACAAGTCTAGCCAAGGGGAAGTGGCTCTACACACGGAAAGAGATGCATGGTGGTAACTCCCCTTTTGCCTTTAAAGCCATCCTCTCAGAGAGGGTACCTCTCATCCCATCCCATTTTGTGCTCTGGTTCATAGAAAAGAAATTGCATCCACTCGGGTCTTTCCTAAGGTGTATTCAGATTCCCAGGATCTGAATACACCTTAGGAAAGGATAATCCCGCTGGCAAGGCATAACTCATTTGGCAGAGTCTACTAGTGGTGGGGCTGGTTACTGTGACCAAAAGACAGGATGGAGGCATCCCTTTCTCATGTCCTTCACCCGTGCTCACTGTCCCTCTTCTTATTTCCTCTTTCATGCATAGTTTCCAAGTTCAAAGCCTCTCCTCCAGGGGAAGGCTCCACTTTTTCTCTCCTGTCTTCTCCTGTTCAGCTGGCTGAGGAGACTGCACCTTTTAGATTCCAGAGGGATGAGTAGGAAGCCCAGGTAGACTTCCAGATGAAGCCTCTTGTGTGCACTAGCCTACCTGCATGAGTGTGAAGGGGACAGGGGTGGGGGAGGTGGGGGGGACTTGCTTCCAGCAGCAGGGCTTTTTCTTTTGCACAGTCCCCTCAGCAGATAGCAAACACTGGAGGGAAGGAGGGTGAGTGAATAGGATTCAGGGATGCGTACCTCATTCACAAACCCCACTCTTCCTCTACTTAATGAATTAATTAGATGGAAAAATAATAGGAACGGTTATATTTGTGACTATTTTAACCCCAATTCGCCTATTAACTCGAATTCAAATGCTAAGCAACCTTTCAAAGACTTAGAAACAATCTTTTGTAGTCCGTTTGGGAAAGGCTGCCTGGCTCTGACCTGCTCTGACACTGAAGGTCCCAGGGTTCTCTAAGGAGGAATCCTGTAGCTCTGGGGGCTCTTGGGCAGCGTTTTGGGCACTGGGATTCACAGTTGATTAAGACAGAGCTGCCCTGGGAAGGAACTGACCTTCTCAAGACATTAACTCTCAACCCAAAGGGAATTATTTCAATGTTGGGAAATAGTGTCAGGCAAAAAAAAACATCAGATATTAGCGGTACCTCCATCTAGATGTAAATAAAAATATCAGAAGACACAGACAACTGTACGGTGGTTACCAGAGGGAAAGAGGCAGGGGATAAAGTGTAAAGGGGGCCAAATATATGGTGACAAAAGATGATTTGACTTTGGGTGGTGGGCACACAGTGCAATATACAGATGATGTATCATAGAAATGTACACTTGAAACCTACATAATCTTATTAACCTATGTCAACCCAATAAATTAATGAAATAAAATATCAGAAGAACTTCATTCTAAATATACATAATTCTAGAGGCCCAGTGCACAAAAACTTGTGTGCTCGGGGGGATCCCTCAGCCTGACCTGCACCCTCTTGCAGTACAGGACCCCTCGGGGGATGTCCATCTGCCGGGTTAGGCCCACTTCCCAGGAGATCAGGCCTAAGCTTGCAGGTAGACATCCCTCTGGTAGCTCAGGAGCCCTCATGGGATGTCCAACTGCTGGCTTAGGCCTAAGCTGCAGTCAGACATCCTTAGCGCTGCTGAGGAGGCGGAATAGAGTCCCGCCACAGCTGCTGTGCTCAGAGCCATCAGCCCAGCTTGTGGCTGAGTAGAGCTCTTCCTATGAGAGCACACTGACCACCAGGGGGCAGCTCCTGCATTGAGCATCTGCCCCCTGGTGATCAGTGTGCGTCATAGTAACCAATTGTTCTTGGTCATTCCGCCATTAGGGTCAATTTGCAAATAACCCTTTTATTATATAGGATGCCAGGGGAATTGGTAATGTCCAAGAAAGAATTTATAGATATGTCTTGAACTCTAATGTGCCATTGTTCAGGGTCAATCTAACTAGCATACATAAATTTCAGGCATAATTTTTTCCTACTGCACATTTATCTCTTCATGATCCTCCCTATAAACATATGCAAAACAAAATAGGCATGGGCCCCAAAATGGCTCCTACCAGGCCCCAAAATGGCAGAATGTTGTCAGTCTTGAGTCTTCCCATTCTTTATCTGTAAATATATATGGAAAGCTTACCATAAATCAGGCCTGGTGCTAAGTGCTAGCAACCCAAAGATGGAAGGATATAAGAAGCTCCCTTCAGTTGACCAGATTAGTGTGAACGTGTTACTTATCCTAGGGAAATGTAGATTTCAGCAGGGATGAAAGGCTTAATCTAAAGGACTAACTAAAGTTCAATACTGTAGGGCACATAATTACTCTTCAAAGTTTCTTCAATGAAACACTGAAGGGAAACACCTCATTTAGTGAAGAATTTTACAAATTTTAGACTCCTTTCCCTTATCTTCCTCTTAGTATCTTTGGCTTAGCAAATTCTCTTAGTTTTCACACAGCATATAAGAACGAGATCAGTCATCTTTTATATCAAAAGAGCAAGAAGGAAAACTACACAGACCAAAGGAAAAAAATCCTTGTATCTCGGAAATTTCCAGAACTTAAAAAAACACACAGAAACTTCCTCATTGTTCCTTAAAAACCTAAAATAATTTACAAAGAGAGAGATCGATTCCCTTGTTTTAAAATGTAGTATTTTAAAGCAACATATCTAATCAGTTTGATATCATAGTTTATGTTCATAATTTTATAAGTGTTGAATCTGTTATATTAGGACCCGGGTAAGTGCTTTTAAAGAGAATATGCTTAGGCTGGATAGAAGAATGTTTCTAGGTTTGATTTTTTTAAAAATCAACCATGATGTAATTCCAGATTTCTTTTTTTCCTTTAGACATCATTTGGTCACCATAGTAACACAGTGTTTTACTACCAGATATCTATACAGCACAAGGGGAAGAGAACAGGCTATTACTTACTCGGTTATTTGGGGGTACAAAATGTGACTATTGGGATAATTCGAGATTAAATATAGATTTCACTGGGGATCTGTTTTAGGCAGGCAAGCTGATTCAATCTTCTAGTAGCATCAACTGAACAAAAATTTTTAACCAAATCAATTACTGACATCATCTGAAATAACACCAAGAAGAGAAGCAGCCTGGTTCAGTGGTTAAGATCATGAACTCTGGGGTCAAGTTTCTTGTGTCCAAATCCTGTACCTGCTATTTCCTAGCTGTGCGACCTTGGCAGAGCCCCTAACCTCGCTGTGCCTTAGTTTCTTCATCACCAAAATGTGGGTACTAATAACACCTCTTCTAGAGGGTTATCATGTGGATTACATGATTGATTTTTGTGTGCTTAGACGGATGCCTTACATACAGTAAGAACTTTGTGAGTATTTGTAAAAGATAGACAAAGTAAAATTTAAACTTGTTAGCTTTCTCCTCTATGCTGGGTAGAAATGGTCAAGATACCGAGATTTGAATACATGGCAGATTATTTTAGCCTTTAACTTTGGGAGATTCCTTTGGGAATTTCATGAGGGGCCCCCTTGGTAGCTGTTCTGTAAGGCTTGAAATTCGGGGGCAGTCTGCTGTCCTGAACCAGAGCTGAAAACTATCACAAGCCCTCCTGGAACATAATTACAGCCATGTATCTGGGGGTCCAGTTTCCCTGGGTCAGGAACATCAGAGGAAGAGGACTGCACAGCACAAAGAAACAGCACGCCTGCCCCCTCATCTCCAGAAGCCACTGCCAACAACCTCTGGGAGCATGAGCAAAGAATACACCGCTGGAGAGGGGTGAAATAGGATTTTATTTCAGTGACAATGAAATCTAGTGGGTTTCAGTAACATTTTTTTTCCCTCCTTCCCAGATTCAAAGAAAAAAAGATCGTTTTCATCAATGACTGCTTTGTTTTATGAATTACCATTATACAGAATTTCCATCTGTTTCTTCAACAGGCACTTACTTTGGTGAATTATTCATTTTGCAGAACTACCTAGGCATCTTTGCTGGACCCATAACAAAACTAAAGCCCCTAACCAGCCAATAAGCCAAGACAAGATCCCCAAATTGCCTGGAAAAAAAAAAAAAAAAAAAAGAAGAAGAGGAAGAAGAAGAAAAAGGTTTTATTTCTCTAAGCCGAATTTCAGTCACAATACCGCGGGATCTCTGGCACATACCTCCATCCGGACTTGATCTTAGAGCCAGTCTCCGTGGGTCTTCTTGGTCAGCAAGAGCCCTTGCATGGGAGTTTGGAGAATGCCATAAGCCACCAGGAAAGCTTGGGAACACATTCATATCTGTCTTCTGCCTTTCCCTTGGCTCGCGGCCGGCTTCCTGGTAGGGAGACAAGATGACGCTGTGCAGGGTTGACTGTTAAACCATCTTCCCGCCCCCAGCCCCACTCTCTGGGTGCCCCTCCCTGCTCTTTTCCAAAGCTCTGGAATGTGTCACATGGGAAATGGATCATGTGGCTCCTGGGGAGAATGTGGCCATCTCCCCTCCCCCTCCCCCCAGTTTTCCTTTCGGGAGCAAAGCAGCAGAAACCTCCAACCTGATTGGCTCAGGCTGAAAATCTCCATATGAAAAGGGAAGATTCAACTCTCAAACCTTCAGCATTCTCCACTTAATTTTTTGTTTTCTTTCTCATCTGAACGTTTTAGTCTGGGCATTCAGAGGTGCCTGGTAGGGTTGGAAATGATGCTTTCTCCCCAGCCCCTATCTTTCCTATTATCAGTCCCCTAACATACAAGGGGTTCCCTAACCAGCCTCCGGAGCCCCCTTGGCACATCTGGGACAATGGAGTATTCAGCACCACGGACAGCATTACAAACCCTTCCGTGTTCACCAAAGCCATTTTTAATTCATTTAACTCTCAGGTAAATAAAAATAGTTTTAAAATATTTCCCTGAGGTCTTTTGCCTAAATAGACATCAGACTAGCCATATATCTGGGGGTCTAGTTTCCCCTGTCTATCTATTTACGGTTACTTTGTAAATACAAATATAATTTTTATATAACATTAAACCCAAAGGGCATTCCATATCTACCTCCTTGTTCTCCCACAACCCATCCCCACCCTTTAAATATGCTGGTGTTTTGGAGGTATTCTTGCGATACAATTTAGTATATGCCCATATGTCTATGCTCACGGAAAAATCACAGAAATAAACAGGATTTCTTGAGTGTGGATATCTGCACGTCTTTAACCTCATCCCTAGGCCTCAGACAGGGCTGCATTAGAGTAGCAGGGAGGAAGCCTGGTAGGAGCTGTTTTGCTCCTCGGTCTATCCTGCTTTGCTGACGTCTCGGTTGCCATGGTGCTAGGTAACTGCTGAAGGGGATGATTTCTTTCAGAAACGGTCACCATGGGACCCAGCTGGCTACAGAAAAGCAGAAGGAAAGGGGCTGAATTGCTGAGGAGGGTTTCCAATTAGCATTTTCAGAGCCAAACTTACTTAATGGGCCCTTACCTTACTGAATTGTTGCTGACCCCTAAATCTTGGAAGGATTCTAGGAATTTGTGTGGACACTGTGATGACAACTCCCTCCATCCTCTACAGCTTCTTTCCTTAAAAATCTGTGTAGGTGTGCCTTGGCTGGTGTAGCTAAGTTGGCTGGGCACTGTCTAGTGTACTGAAGGGTTGCTGGTTCGATTCAGGTTCTAGGCACACGCCTGGGTTTCAGGCTTGTTCCCCTGTAGGGATGCTGCTCTCATACCAATGTTTCTCTCTCACCCTCTTTCTCTAAAAATCAATTTTTAAAAAAATATATTTTATTGATTTTGTACAGAGAGGAAGGGAGAGAGATAGAGAGTTAGAAACATCTAGAAACATCGATGAGAGAGAGTCATCGATCAGCTGCCTCTTGCACACCCCCTACTGGGGATATGCCCGCAACCAAGGTACATGCCCTTGACCGGAATCGAACCCGGGACCTTTCAGTCCCCAAGCCAACGCTCTATCCATTGAGCCAAACCGGTCTCAGCTCTAAAAATCAATTTTTAAAATATTAAAAAAACAAAAAAACTGTTTAGTTGCAACTGAATGAAAATGCCAGCTTCATAGAATGACTGTGTAATGCCATCACCAAGTGGTGGAAAGAACATGAGAAACATATTTCTCTTCAGGCTGGGACGTCTGACTTTTGTGAAGCCATTCATCAAAGACCTTCACTAGGAAATGCTTGAGGTCCTCACCTGATGTTTGACACTAGGAACCATTTTTAAATGTGTTGCAATTTTACAGGAGCAAAGATAAATATATTTTCATGTGAGCTGCTAAACTATTTTTAATAAAAATAATTTGATTAATAAAGTTAATTCCTTGGGTAACATTTGGACTACCCAAATCAGAAATGTAAACCAGTTATATATTTGTCTCCTAAGGCTGGCATATAGCTGATTATTTTAAACTCAGAATCCTATCTATGGCAATTCTGAATATTTATGTTTAGGGAGAAGATCTGACTTGCAATGTGCTGAAATTCGAACTGTGAGAAAACAGGTAGCTCAGGGGAGCTGGATTATGATTTTAAGAAATTGGAGTTCCGCTTTTTGGCTAAGATCAAGTGAAGAAATTGAAATTTCTTACTGACTCAATATCCACAGCTTAAGACATATTTACTCCTTTTATTTTAAAAGAGTCAGGTTAATTCTAGTTTTTCTAAGACTCATAGAAAAAAAAACTCATAGAGAAATTCAAATGCCACTTTCAGAAAATTCACTTATCAGGAAAGCTTTGAAGTTTTTGAAGAAACTGTTAGAAAACTAGCAGACTGGTGACTTGACTATCATCTCTCTTATTAGTCAATAACAACAACAAAAACAATAAAAATAGCTCATATTTATTTTGTGTCATGTATTCAGTACATGACATCATTGAATCCTATCAAGCTATGAGACAGATGAGTAAACCAAGGCTTAAAGAAGATAAGTAATGTGCCCCAAACTGCTCATCTGGTTAGTGTGGGAACTAGGATTTGAAACTAACCTTGACTCCAGGTCAGGCACATTATATTATACTAGTCTGCATCACCAGTCTTAGGCTAGACCAAAATAACTTGTCAAACGAATGTTACAGGATTCATTACTATAGCCCTTTGACAAAAGAAATAAAAAAGATTGCTTTAAATTTTCGCGACAAAAAGAGGCCAAATTATTCATCCCTTTTAGAGTAATTGTATATGTACATCATGGCTTAATGATAAAAATAATTTTTAAAAAAGAAAAAATCATAATTAAAGTAATTTTAAAAGAAATCAGAATATTGTTAATAATTACTACAAAGCATATTGAGTAAATACTAATTCTGTTAAAAAATATCAATATTAATTTTGTAATGTAAGAAACCTCTGGGACAACTTCAAGTGAACAAACATCAGAATTATGGGGGTCCCAGAAGAAGAGAGAGAGCAAGATACTGAAAACATACTGAAAGAAATAGTGACAGAAAACTTCCCCCACCTGGTGAAAGAATTAGACCTACAAGTCCAGGAAGCGCACAGAACCCCAAACAAAAGGAATCCAAAGAGGACTACACCAAGACACGTCATAATTAAAATTCCAAGAGCAAAAGACAAAGAGAGAATATTAAAAGCAGCAAGAGAGAAACAGGGAGTTATCTATAAAGGAGCACCCATACGATTGTCAGCTGATTTCTCAACAGAAACCATGTAGGCCAGACGGGAATGGCAAGAAATATTCAAGGTGATGAATAGCAAGAACCTACAGCCAAAAATAATCTACCCAGCAAAGCTATCACTCAGAATCGAAGGCCAGATAAAGAGCTTCACTAATAAAAAAAAAAAGCTAAAGGAGTTCATCACTGCCAAACCAGAATTATATGAATTGCTGAAGGGGGTTCTTTCGGAAGAGAAAGAAAATAGAGATAAAAATTATGAACAAATACATAACTATCAATGAATCTAAAAACCAAGGGAATTAAAAAACCTGATGAATAATATTAACTGTTGAATATAATAGAATCAGAGGTATGGAAAGGGAGTGGACTGATGATTCTCAGGGAAAAGAAGAGTGGGGGGTGTGGAAAGAGCCTGAACAGAAACTGTGCACCTATGGATGAGGACAATGGGGGGCGGGGAAAGGGCAGAGGGTGGGGTAGGAACCTGGTGGAGGGGGGGGGGGAAATGAGGGACTTTTGTAATAATATGAACAATAAAGGTTTATTTAAAAAAATAAAAATTAAAATAAATAAAATAAAAAATATTAATTTTGTAATCACCAAACATACTCCTAGCCATTTGGAAGAAGAGAAAGAGACAGTTATCTTTCATCCAAACCCATAAAATCCTACAATACTTATGTAATGGAGTGTTATATTGAAAATTATTTGCATGATTTTTATTCCTCTCCCAACATAATCAATCTGCCCTAGGAATAGGAAGTATGGCACCATTTAGAACTTACAAAAGTAATGGAAAGAAGTAATATTCACCTTCTGAAATTCAAACTAGGAATGTGCATCAAAACAACAGGCTTCGAATCCAGGCTACTGTTTTGGAAGCCATTCTTGAAGTTCCTTTATTTCTGCTTCCCTTGTCATCAACCAGAGTTTACTTAGAGTGTTCAGTCCGGTAGAACAGGTCTTCAGACTAGGCCAAGTAAAAACTTCCAAGGGGTCCTACAGCATGCAGACAGTTTTATGAGAGCTAATTTCTTGATTTTTAACTTCCACAAGCAACTTACCTTCAAATACTTCAAATACACAGACACACACACACACACACACACACACACTAAATATCAATTTTAAAAAAACTTTTAACAAAGAAGGAAATCCTGCCGTTTGTGACAACATGGATGAACTTGTAGGGCAATGGTTCTCAACCTTTCTAATGCCTCGACCCTTTTAATACAGTTCCTCACATTGTGGTGACCCCCAACCATAAAATTATTTTCGTTGCTACTTCATAACTATAATTTAGCTACTGTTAATGAATCGTAATGTAAATGTCTGTGTTTTCCAATGAATGGTCTTAGGCTCTCATATTACTTCTGTAATCGCATATATCATATTGCATTGTGTTCATAGATTCTTGTAGGGAGGAATGTCACCCAACTTATCTTTATACCTTTATGATATGAAAAAATAAAGTGGGTGCTCAACAATAGCATTTCAGCACCTTGAACAAGCATAACTTCAGACTAACTTAAAACAACTTAATTTTTATTTTACACTATGAGTACCCTTTCTAGAGGAGTTTTCTTCTCCCAACCCTGAATGAAAATTTGGGCAGTCCCGCCCTAACTGGTTTGGCTCAGTGGATAGAACATCAGCCTAAGGACTGAAAGGTCCCAGGTCGATTCTGATCAAGGGCACATACCTTGTTGCGGGCACATCCCCAGTAGGAGGTGTGCAGGAGGCAGCTGATGAATGTTTCTCTCTCACTGATGTTTCTAATTCTCTCTCCCTCTCCCTTCCTCTTTGTAAAAAATTAATAAAATATATTGAAGAAGAAAAAAAAACTAGGGCAGTCCTATTCCTTTTTCTGGTTACTTTTAGTTAAGAGACGTTAGTAATTGGCCCCGACTGGGTATCTCAGTTAGTTAGAGCATCATCCTGATATACCAACGTTTCAGGTTAGATCCCCTGTCAGGGCACATACAAGAATCGACCAACAGCCCTGGTGGGTGTGGCTCACTGGTTGGGCATTGTCCCGTGTCCCAAAGGGTTGCTAGTTCATTTCCTGGGCAGGGTACATGCCTGGGTCATGGGCTGCATCCCCGGTGGGGTGTGCAGGAGGCAGCCAATCCATGTCCCACTCTCATGTTTCTCAATCTCTCTCCTTCTCCCTTCCTCTATCTCTAAATATCAATTTTAAAAAAAAACTTTTTTAAAATATATATTTTATTGATATTTTACAAAGAGGAGGAAGGGAGAGAGATAGAGAGCTAGAAACATTGATGAGAGAGAAACATCGACCAGCTGCCTCTTGCACCCCCCCTACCGGGGATGTGCCCGCAACCAATGTACATGCTCTTGACCGGAATCGAACCTGGGACCTCAGTCTGCAAACCGACGCTCTACCACAGATCCAAACCGGTTTCGGCTAAAAAAAACTTTTAAGAATCAACCAATGAATGCATTAATAAACGGAACAAGTCGATGTTTCTCTCTTTCCTTTCCCTCTCTCAAAATCAATAAATAAAAATTTAAAGAAAGAGATGTAATTAAAATATTCAGTCCTGTTAAAAGCTACCACCTGACTTAAAGTTAAGGCTTTTCTCCCTTCTCCTAGTTTGTGCCTGCTGTAGAGGGAAGCTTAATTTAGGTAAAGAGTGTGGCCACTTCTCTCTTTCCCTGACTTTATTTTCTAACATCGCTCCAATAACTCCATTCAAATATCCACTTCAAAACCCCTTCCCCAGTCATCATTTTGGTACTTTATGCTTTGGATGAGAGTGAGAGTTTAAGAGTAATCTAATCAGTTCTCACCCTCCTACATTTTTCAAAAGGCCTACAGAGTGGTCTCTCTCTGATTCAGGCAGCACTCCTATTTTTTTTTTTTTTTTTTTTTTTTTTGCTAATCCTAAATGAGGATATTTCTCCATTGATTTTTAGAAAGAGTAGAAGGGAGGAGAGACAGAGAAAGAGAAAACCATCAATGTGAGAGATAGATTGGCTGCATCCTGCACGTGCCCCAACTGTGGCTGGGATAGAGTTTACAACCAAAGTATGTGCCCTTGACCGGCATCAAACCCAGAATCCTTCAGTCCACAGGCCGATGCTCTATCCACTGATCCAAACCAGCCAGGGCAGCACTCCTATTTTAACATACTTTTATAACAGCTTAACTGAAGTGTCACCACTTGGATTTTCTATTTCTAACTTTCAATTGCTTCCCTCCTCATCCCGAGTCTCCTATCCTTCTATCTGACTCCATTCCTCATTTCTGCATGATCTGCTATTCACCCACTTCATAACTTCTAATTATTGACCCCTGCACAGTCTCTGCAAGGGTGCCTCCTTACCAAGGAGACAATTTCACCATTTCACCAATTCTCCTAATAAACAAACTAATGTGCTTCTCAAGAAGAGGGGTCCAAGTAAAGAAAGGTTTCTATGTGGCAGATTTCCTGGCCATTACTGCCCCATATGGGTCTTGATATCCAATGACTGAAGGAGTAGGTGGTTTCAACTACCGATTCACTTACATTCCTAGAAACCAGAGTTGGTGCCCCAGAAAGTACCTTGTCCTTACAAGCTCAAATTCCATGCCATCCCTCCTATTCCAAATGATTCCCAATTCATTAAAAGGCTACAAAAACAGACTTGAACCTCGCCTTTCTCATATTAGCACCAACACCACCAGTTGGGTACTTAAGGCAGCTATATAGGCTATGAGAAGGGGCTTCATCATCAATGGCCTGCTGCACGGCTTTCCCACAGGCATGGACCCACTGGAGAAGAACATCCACATGCATACACTTCCGCGATGCCTTGATGCTCCTCCCCAAACAATGGAGCAGAGTGGGCTGTAAAAGTTCACTCCACCCCTTCACTGCCTTTAGGCCTGCTGATAGCCCAAGATTCATCATGTGACAGAGCGAATAGAGACATCATTATCTGTGTCGCCTGTGCTAGATCAAAGGACCAGCTTAGGAGGCTCAAATTCCCCAGTTTTACATAAATCCTATATATTCCTGGGGCCTGTATTAATGACTTCATCACTGGCCTTTCCAAAATTAAGATGGTCAGCACATCCTTACCATGGTGATCTGTTTTCTGAACATACTAGTAGCTTACTATGCCCCATTCGTCTGCCCATCTCAAACTCTAGCCTTTATTTCTCCAGAATTTTTCAAATACATAGCTATCCAGATCAGGTGGTCTTACACCACAGGTCTAACTTCTTTCGCACATGTGTCAAACACACGGCCCGAGGGCCAAATCCGTCCCGCCAGGCCTTGCAATGTGGCCCGCACCGCGCTGTCATCACTGCACTCCGCTGCGTTTCCATCACAATGACAGTTTATGACTGTTCAGTAAACCATTCGGCCCGCGATTTAGGCTGGATTTTAGATTTTGGCCCCTTCTCTGATTGAGTTCGACACCCCTATATCTAGAGGGAACTCTTAAAGCAGTGGTTTCTTAGTAGCAAAATGAAGAGCTTGAAGACATACTGATAAAAAATAAATAAATAAATAAATAACCCAAAACAAACAAACAAAAACCCATACTGATCTCTGGAATCCACTCCCAGAAATTCTTTTTTAATTGGTTTAGAATGAAGCCTGGGCATTAGAATTTTTAAAAGCTCTCCAGGTGATTCTAATATGCTGGCAAGGTCTAGAATTTACTTTAAGGCTATATAAAGCATCCAATGTATGCAAGATAGCATGCATAAATGTGGCAAGAGGCTCAGGGAAGAAACCCTCATTTGTTGATCATATACTACATACCAAATTCTATGCTACTCACTCATATAGTCTTCTCAATTGCACCTCATTTCTTCTTTCCAATCATCCTATGAGGTCAGCACTGTTATCCTTATGGTACAGAGGGAAACGGGAGAGTTCAGAGAGGTCACACAGAATGACTGGCAGACCCAAGAATCAAACCCCAGGTCTGAGTCCCAATTCCACACACTTACTGTGACACCATCCTGAAATGCCATGCCTCTGATAGCTGGATGATCCCACTCCCTAGAACAAAAACCGAAGTTAGCTTTAATCCCGAAATCCTATCCTATTGTATCCATGGGTTTTTCCTGCAACATTTTCCCATGAACTCCACACAGATAGACCAGCTGCTAGGCTATACTGCAGGCTGCCAAAGTGAAATGAAGTGCTCCAGGGAGAATGTCTTGATAAGGAACTACCATGTCTGGGTCTTTACTGATGGATGTCCATGCTATACCTGCTGCCTTAAGTCCTGAGGCGATAATGCTTACCTACAAGTCATTTCTTCTCTGGTCTAGTAAAATGATATACTCCATCAGCATCCTCTGCCTTGTTCTCCAGATAGTACACAAAGAACCAAAATATACTGGCTAAACTGCCTAAGGCTGCTGCCAATATCAATATGGACTAATAGCGACCTGGGAAGCTAGAGGCTAGAAGTACATACTTTTGTAATGTGCCAGTAGTACATCTAAGTAACTTGGTAGCCGAATTCCAACAATCTTACTCCCCATAATGCACATTTCATTCTGGCTGAGGTATGGGGTTTGTGGAAGGTGGTAGGGCCCAAGAGCCTCAGTGAGAAAGAACGCTCCAGGTGTTGGGTTGTACCTCTAAAATGTTGCAGGACAAAATCCAATGCTTGTGCAGGTGTCCCATGTTCCTGGGAGAGAAAAAAGGGGCAGATTAGTCAGTTCTCTCAAAACAATTCCCAAATTCCTTATTCCTGTTACCGTAACTCTTCTTCCTAATATCAACCACAGAGCTTGCCCAGGACTATGGCTTCTAGAATCCTTCTTGCTTCACTCACTTAGGATTTCTCAATTTTCATTTTACCCATCATGGACTAAATGTGTGATAGGTTTACGCTGTTTTAAGAAAAACTTCTCTATGGCCAACAGTTTTATCTTTCTAGTTTCACCTCTTCGTTGTGCTGTGTAGTTGCCTTAATTTACCTCTGAATTTTTCGCATCTCCTTTCCTCTGCATTACATTAGTTCACACTGACATCCTTTCTTGTCCTCCAGAAAGAAAGAAATATATATATAAAACCAACATATATATATATATATATATTGATATATTGATATATATAGATATAGATATATAGATATATTGATATATATATATATATCCAACACACACACACACACAAAGACAGTTTCAGATGGCTTAGAAGGCTGTGATACAAAACAAGAAGATGGGTTGGTCCCTCAAATGTATTCCTTTGTCGCTTCCAGGTATCTTTCCAAGCACTCACACAACTTATCCCTCAGATGGGCTCTGCCACTCCCACTCCTCCCCTGCCGGATGGGCTGTAACTTCCCGCTCTCCCACCGCGTTCGCGGCCAAACAAAAACACGGAAAGCAGGGACGACCGTACAGGAACGTTGAGAGTGTCGTGTTGTGTGCTTGCAGCCATCGGAGCTACGTTGACCCACCTTTCTCGAGGGCCAAGTTTGGCTGGCCATAACCAAGCGGAAAGTTTTGAACTTTTTGGCGCCAAAGTGCTTAGTCCAGCGCAGGCGCAAACGCACATTTGGGTGGGATGGGTGGGGAAAGGCGCTGTTCGCGCGGGCAGATCTCGCGTGGTTTGGGGAATAATTTATTTATTTATTTATTTTTTGGTGGCGTTGTGAGGCTTTTTTTTTTTTTTTTTTTTTTTTAATGAAGCCGGGATGGATGAGTGCTGCTGTCAGGTAAAAAAAAAAAAAAAAAAAAAAAAAAAAAAAAAAAAAAAAAGATCTAGAGTCGGCGGCGAGAACAAATGAGGGTAGTGTAACTAGCGGCAGTTCTCTGGGGCCGAGGACTTTTCTCCGAGGCCTCCCCCCCTTCCCGGGGCCGCACAAGAGCTAAGAGTATGAAAAAAAAGGAAAAAAACAAAACAAAAAGCCAACGAGGCTATCACCTCAGGGCGCAGTGTTTTGTTCTGCACTTTTCACTACAGGAAAAGTCCCGTTGGCCGCCGACCAACCAGTTTAAGCTGCGGCCGCCGCGGCGCCTGCGCAGGAGTTTGTTTACGAGGCCGCGCTCCTGGCGCCGGGCGGCCGCCGGGTCGGTGTGTGACCCGTGATGGGAATTACGTGTTCGGCCGGGAACACGGCTTGGAGGTTAGGAACAGGGCAATGTCTGTGTAAAATCTAAAGCCAATGAGAATACGAACGGTAGTGAAAGCTCAGAGCTCTCAGAAGTTGTTGTCCTGCCAGGTATTTATCACGAAATGTAGCGAAGAGGACCGCGGCAGCTGATAAGCTGCAAAGTAAACCCAGGAGCGGAGGCAGTAGGTAGGGGCCTTCTGAAAACGGAGGCTCTGTGATGGAAAAGATGCAAATGCGCCTCAGCCTGAGGCCAACCTCGAGCAACAGCTGCCTGACGTGAGGCCGACTCTTGAAGGCAGGTAAAAAAGGCAGCCATGCAAATTGTGAAACTAAAAAGGGATGACTCTAGAAGCAATCGCCGGGAAAAGCACACACCAAGAAGCAAATTTTTAAAAAAAAATGGTCATAAGTTCTCTTCAAAGACAGTTTCAGATGGCTTAGAAGGCTGTGATACAAAACAAGAAGATAGGTTGAAACTACCAGTGTGTGTTACAGATAAGACTGGATGCACTAGCAAATAAGAAAGGCAGGCAAGCTGGTTTTTAAAAAATATATCTTTATGGAAAAGTTTCTAATGGTGCGTTTTACTGTTCTCAAAAAGGTTTAGCAGTAGGTTCTGCTAAACCTGGATCTTTATCTTAGAGTTAGGTGAAAGTATAGATGTTAACAGTCCTGTGAGGTGGGGCCAAATTTCTTAGGCTCTGCACACATTCAGCATCATTCACAGTGCACAGTGAGCTTTCATCTAAAAAAATATATAGCCTCTGGATTTTTCTTACTATATTCAATAAAATAGTAAAATTTAGTAAATCTAGCAATTTGGATACTTACCTTTTAAGGCAAATGTGTACCAAAGTCAGAAGTGACTTTACTTGCTTCATTTTCTGGAGGTACATTCATTTGGTTGAGGTAAGGTGGTAGATAACCAGTTTTCTAAGCCAAGGTTGAATTGACATTTTCTTCATGACTAGCCTTCTGGTCCATACATATTAAGCACAATTAAGGTGAATTGACTCCTTGTTCACACTAATGATTAACACTCACTCATTTGCCCTGACTGGTTTGGCTCAGTGGATAGAGTGTTGGCCTGTAGACTGAGGGATCCCGGGTTCCATTCTGGTCAAAGGCATATACCTTGGTTGTGGCATATCCCCAGTAGGGGGTGTGCAGGGGCAGCTGGTTGATGTTGCTCTCTTGTTGATGTTTCTAACTATCCCTCTCCCTTCCTTTCTGTTAAAAAAAATAAAATAAAATAAAATAAAAATAAAAAATATATTTTTAAAAAAGACTCACTCATAAAAAAATGGCTCACTTTGTCAAGGCAATCAACAACTGAATACTTTTTTAACCCTCCCCAGAGGACATACTGATTTTAGAGAGAGGGGAAGGGAAGGGAAGGGAGGGTGCGGAGAGAGAAACATCAGCATCCTGATGAAATTGAACCGAAAACCTTAGTGTGTGATCTGACCAGGAACCGAACCCACAACCTTTCAGTGTATGGGAGGACTGGACAATGCCACAGCCAACTGAGCCATACTGGCCAGAGCAACAGCTGAGTACTTTTAATGTATATGATGAGATGGCTCAATAAAAAATTAAGTAAGGGGATTAAATGATGAGTTGATAAAGAATTGTGAATCCCTTGAGAGGATTATGATGAGTATGATGAAAATGATAATGTAAGACTGGTAAGTAGTCAAATAAAACTTCATCTTTGTTCACTGAAAGAAAAAAAAAAAGCAATTGTTTGATGAGTAAAAGAAACACTACTGGGTTGGTTTCCCATTGTTTGTCCTATTACTCAGGAAATAATAGTTAGAAAAATGTCCCCAATCAGTAGCTGAAAAAACTATCCATACCATTTCTTTAGCAGTGTTTGGGCACGCTCTCTTATGATTACCCTGACATTGTAAAGCAATGAAAAACTGCTGCCATTTGTATCAACATTTTTATGTCACTGGGTTCTTGAATTATTCTGACCCCAAAACAATTTAATATGTAATACCAACTACCTAAAAGTGGTTGAATTAACACAATATACTATTATTAAGTAAATAATAGAAACCTTTTTTCATGACAGATAACTATTTCTAATAATAGATAATTTTAATTTTAAAAAGTGTTAAACACACAAATTGCTGCTTCTAGCTCTGCACTCTAAGTGTTGGGAGTAACTCCAGCACTCTTGTTATGCCTTAAGAAGGAATGTTTCAATCAGATGGAAGGGAATCCTCAACAAGAGGGTAGGATGAGGGTAAGAGAAAAAAATCATAAACTCTGGTTGTGAATGTTAACTAATACCCACTGAAGGCATCTCTGCTGAAGCACTTTTCCTTGTGCTAACTCTGCCCCATCCCCACCCCTCTTCCCTCCCATTCCCACCTTTGTGTGGCTGGCTTTTCATTACAATTACATCTCTGACTAGAGGCCCAGTGCACAAAATTCGTGTGGGATGGGGGTGGGGAGGCCAGCGGGGGCAGGTTCCCCTCAGCCCAGCCTGCATCCTCTCCAATCCGGGACCCCTCAAGAATGTCCAACTGCCAATTTAGGCCCAATCCCTGGGATCAGACCTAAAATGGCTATCAGACATTCCTCTCACAATCCTGGACTGCTGGCTCCTAATGGCTCACCTTCCTGATGGCCAGGTTACCTCCTACTGCCCCCTCTCTGGTGGCCTGGTTACTCCTAACTGAACCCCCTTCCCCGCTGGCCTGGTCACCCCTTACTGCCTCCCTCTGCCAGCCTGGTTGCTCCCAATTCCCCCCCTCACCCCTGTCGGTCTGCTCACCTCTTACAGCCCCTCCTGCTGGCCTGGTCACCCCCAATTGCCCCTCCTGCCGGCCTGGTCACCCCTCACGGCCCCCTCACCGGCCTGGTAGCCCCACTCAGCCTGCTTGTTCAGTCATTTGGTCATCCCTCACTAACGCCCCTGCTGGCCTGGTTGTAGGCAGCCATCTTGTGAGGGTGCGAGGGATAATTTGCATATTACCTCTTTATTATATAGGAGGATAAGTAAAGGTGCCTTTTTGCTCTGCCACCCTCAGTGTATTAACAAGTCTTCTGTCATAGTCACAGGATGGCTGCCAAAGCTCCAAACATTGTGTTCTCATATGAAATGTTCCAAACAGAGAGGGAGAAGCGGTATAGGTGAAGAGAAAGAAGAAAGCTTTTTCTTTGTGGCCTCTCTCATCATTCCATATGACATAACAGACTGCCCTTTACAGCTCATTGTTCAACGCTATGTTGCTTGGCTACACACTGCTTTGAGGAAGGCTAGGAAAGTATGTATAGGGAAAACAGATACATTCTTTAATATGGTGCATTAAGAATAGCAGGGATATGGGAAATACTGTATAGGTTTAGGAGCAGATCATTTGAAACCTATGCAACTTTGTTACTTGAGGACCATAAAAGTTACTATGCTAATTAAAAAAAAAAAAACACAAAGCAAAAAAAACCCCAAAAAACTACATAGTTAAATCACCAAAGGCATTTTTACTCAACAGTATCATTTAGAGCAGCGTTTTTCAACCGCTGTTTCGCGGCACACTAGTGTGCCGCGAGATGTTGTCTGGTGTGCCGTAGGTGCAGACAAGACAAGAATTTTATAATTTTATATTTTGTTTACTTAATATTTCATAATAAAGTAATTATAAAATACTTTCTTTGTGTTTATTTGATTCCTATTCAAGAGAATTACTTTATATATAGTCAATATAGGCACAGAGTTAAATTTTTTAACATTTTCTAATGGTGGTGTGCCTCGTGATTTTTTTCATGAAACAAGTGTGCCTTTGCCCAAAAAAGGTTGAAAAACACTGATTTAGAGAGCCATACTGTCCAATATGTTGGCCACTAGCTGTGTGTGGCTATTAAGCATTTAAATGTGCTAATCCAAATAAAGCTGTGCTGTAGAATAAAACATACACTGGATTTCAAAGAGTTAGTGTGGCGCTGGCTGGGTGGCTCAGTTGGTTGGAGTGTTGTTTTGTACACCAAAAAGATTGCAGGTTCAATTCCTGTCAGGGCACATACTCGGTGAAGGGGATTGTGGTGCATAGGAAGGCAACTGATCGATATTTCTCTCTCTCCCTTCCTCTCTCTCTAAAAGACAATTTAAAAACAACATATCCTCCAGTGAGGATTAAAAAGAAAAGACTTAATATGAAAAAGTAATGTACATATGTATATTATTAATCGTTTTTATATTAATTACATCATTTCACCTGTTCTTTATTTTTTTAATGTGGCTACTAAAACACTTTAATTGGATATGGGTTTTATATTTCTGTTGGACAGTGCTTCTTTAGAACCTTTAATCCTGGAATATGTGCTTCCTCCTTGGACATATAGATCCTTGATAGCTTCTAATTAAAATCAGTTTCATTAAAATTGAAAATCTGGCCCAGAATTTAGCCTTCTTTATCAGTTTCCTCCACCACACACATGAAAATTATTTCACATCTTCATTTACATTGCAGCTTTACTATG